AAGCCTTTAAAGTGTTACGTAGGTAAATAAAGCCTAGTTATTTAATAAAAACTTAATGCTTTTATTAAAGTAGAAACTTAGTAAGACTGTCTACTAGCATGTCTGTAGTAGAGATCTAGTGTATGCAAATTCTTCTTTTCTGTACCTCTTAGCAGAGCTAGTAGTTGTAAATGTTAACATGCTTAAGCTTAGTATTAAGCTTTAAGTCTTTTACTATAGCTTATATAGTTTGTTAATTATTATAGAGTAAAGTAAGCTTTTTTTAGTGTTAAAGTTTATATCTATAAAAAATTACTTCTACTACTATAAGTAGCTAGCAGTGTAAGAGAGAGCTAGAAGCTTTGCTTTAGTTATTAATTTAGTAACTAAGCGCTGTAAAAAGGCCTTCTTATTAATAGCTACACTAAATAGTGTAAATAGTATGCTGTAGAAGCTATAGCAACTAGCTTTAGTATTACTATAAGTAGCATCTAATATGCTATAATAGACAGGTTTTTAAAATAAGTAAGTAAAGGTTTTTAAGTACTAAAGCGCATAGTTCTTAGTGCTATAAAAGTATTTAATTCTATACTAAGCAGTCTTTTAGTGTTTATCTAAGAAGTTAACTAGGTATTTAGAGAGCTTTAAATAAGCTTTAGCAACATTAGGTCTAATAGTAGTAGTAGCATAGCTAATAGAGCTAACGCGCTGCTAGTATACTATAATTGTTTATATATTTGTTTTAGTTATATAATTAGGCTATAGAAGTAGTGCTAATGCATTTAATAAAGTAATTAGCTAAGAATGTGTGCAACTAGTATTAAGATTAAAGTAAGTAGTAAGCTATTTAATATCTAACTCTTAACTAAGATATATAGTGTAGTTATTTTTATTATAGTATTTAGATGCTAAGAAACTAGTTTTGTTCTTTTATAGCTTAGATTTTATAAATTTTTATAAGCTTAATTTTAAATCAGTCTAAGTGCTTTTTATACTCTAGTAAGTAAAAGAAAATAATATTATTAATGTAAAAGTAAACTATAAGCTTTTTATTAGTAAAAAAATAATTAACTTTAAAAACTTTAAAAAAGCTAAGCTTTTTAAGTAACTTAGTAAGTTTTAAATACTAAAGCTTAAGTATATTTTTAAGCTTATATAAAGCTTAAAGAAGTTAAAGAGCTTACTAAAAGCAACAGTAGCCTAGTAGCAGTTTATAATATGCTAGAGTTAGAAGGCAAGCGTTAATAAACATGTTTATAGTGTTATATTACTACGCAAGGAGGCTAAATAAAGCCATAATAGCAATAAGCGCTTTAAAAACATGTGCTACTAGAGTAGCAGTATATGTTTTAGCTATAGTAACCTAGAAGTTGCTTTATACATAAAGATAAGCTTTAAATTTAGTTAAGAAACTTTTAGTATTAAATTTATACTTATATACTTATTTTAAAAGTATTACTAAAGCATTTATAGCCTTTATAATAAAGACAAGCTTAAATACTTTTTTTAATAAAAGTCTATAAATGTTAGATATGCGCACCTACTGTTAAGACAGGAGGAACGTTTGACGAAAGCTGCTACATAGTACGAGTAATAAGCTCTAATAGTATGTTGCTGCAAATTGCTGCATGTTGTAGCATTTTGCAGCATTTTGCAGCAAATTGCAGCAAATTGCAGCATGTTGCAAGCTGGTCGCGCATAGGGCTAGTGCGCGAGAGACTCGGATCGGAAAAACAAAAGCCGAGCAACACGAGTAGAGCAGAAAAAGGATCGATAAACAAATACAATGAATCATCATCCCATACATCATATCCAAACCCATCATTCATCTCAGGAAGCCTAGAAACAGTGCTTTAATCTAACAATAAATTTAATCTCTATAGCGTGCTTCTAACTGTCTAAGAATTAGTAGGGTATGCCTTATAGTAAGTTTTAGGCACAGAAGGTAAATAATCTTAATAAAGAGCTTTAAAAGTAATAGTAGTAGGTTTTATAAAGTCTTTTATAAAGCTTAGTATAAAGGCGGAATACTAGCTAGACATTTTAGTAGTAGTTTATATAAAAGTAGTAGTATATTATTAACGCTTTAAGATGTTTAATTTATTAATGTTAGCTATGCTTTTAGTAAAGCTTAGTCTAGTAAAGTTCTTAAGCTATGTGTAAAAAATAAAGTTAGCTTTTTTAAAAAAAACTTTAAAGCATATAATTAATTAAAGCTGTGTGCTAAGTAGTTATAGCTTACTTAAGATAATTATTATTAGTTTTAAAGTCTATAGTTATGTTACTTATTTATTATAACAATTTTTGTTCTATCTTAGGTCGCCTAGAACCTATCTGAAGGGTCCCTGTATCTGTAACGATTCTCACGAATCGTTCCATCTCGGGTCGCTCGGATCCTATCCGAAGGGTCCCCGTATCAGCCCCGACCATGACTCGACCCTGTCCCCTGCAGTTACCCCTATTTACCTAAGTATTTAGTCGCACCTCTCCTCTTAGCTAGCTTAGTAGTTTTCTGATATCCTCTGTACAAGGCCTATAGGTGTCAATAGCATTCCTAGGTTCCGAGTCCCCACGCACTCCCATATGCCTCTGAGTGCATTCCCACCGCATTCAGACCCATTGTCTTGCCTGTGCCGTTACAGTATCAGCCCCAACCCTAACTCAACCTAGCCCCAACTCTGCCCTGCCCTCTGCTGTTACCTCTATTCTCTTATGTATTTAGTCGCACCTCTTCTCTCTAGCTAGCTTAGTAGTTTTCTAATATCCTTTGTGCAAGGACTATAGGTGTTAATAGAATTCCTAGGTTATTAAGTCCCCACGCACTTCTATATGCCTCTAAGTAGATTCCTACTGCATTTAAACCTATTGTCTTGCCTACGCTGTTACATTATATTAGAAAACTTGCTTTTACTAGTAGTAGCTTTATTATAATATTATAGTAATTATTTATTTAACTATGTTTAAGCCTAAGATATATTTAATTTAGTTTATGTAACAGCACAGGCAAGACAATAGGTCTAAATGCGGTAGGAATCCACTTAGAGGCATATAGAAATGTGTGGGGACTTGGAACCTAGGAATGCTATTAACACCTATAGGCCTTGTACAAAAGGATATTAGAAAACTACTAAGCTAGCTACAGGGGCAAGGTGCGACTAAATACA